AGAAGTTCTTCTTGTAAAAGCTTTAATTTCAAGACTTGAAAGTATGCAAAACATTTGTAAATAAAGCCTTAACTGTATATTTGAATGTGAGAAACATTAATTTTTAAACTGTTGTATATTTTTTCTCTCAGAATTGCTTTGTCTCCCATACTATTTGGATGTTCAATGTTTTCATTTTCATTCAGTTTTTAAAAGGTCTTTAGTTCCCTTTTGATTTGTGCCTTGACCCAGTTTTCATGCAATACTACATTGTTCAGAGTCAGTTTTGTATGCTTTTTGCTCTTTCTGTTGTGGATATCCAGCTTTAATCCATGATATTCAATTAGAATACAAGACGTTAGTTCAGTTTTCCTCTAGTTGAAACTTGCCTTGTATACTAATACAGGGTCAGTTTTGTAGAAAGTTCCATAGACTTCTGAGAAAAAAAATAAGCAAAACAAAACAAGAATAAAAAAACATTCTTCAATGTCTGGGTAGGATGCTCTGTAGGTATCTGTTAGGTCCATTTGATTTATGGTGTCATTTAACTCGAGTTTCTTTATTGGATTTTTGCTGATGCCCTGTGTATTGATGAGGGTGGCATATTAAAGTTAGTAATTATCACTCTGTTAGTGTCAATGAAACTGGATGTCTTTTTGTTTTGTGGATAAGTGTCTAGAATTGTAATATCCTCTTAGTAGATTTTTTCTTTACTAAGTATGTGTACTTATGTTGAACATGTCCAAACTTTGTATTCCCATTCTTTTAAGTAATACAGTAGGACACTGTATAGCAGCTATACCACAGTATACTAACTTCTAGAAATCTAATGACACTTACCTTGCACCAGGGGATGTACACATGTTATATATGCAGATACTACAACATTTTCTATGAGGGACGTGAGCACCTTGAATATAGGTGTTCATGTGGGATTCTAGAGCAATCTGCCAGAGGTGCCAACAGAGATGCTATATCTACTAATAGTTGGGAAGATCCTTGCTTTAAAGCATCTTGCTTAAAAATCTAGTCTTTTTATCATAAGTACAAACACAATTACATATATAAAAGTTTTATAATTTCTATGTTTAATTTATTAACAGGATCTGCTAAAATTCTAGAAGACCTCATGTTTATCTTCATGTGATTAATATACATGATATATTTTTATGTTGCCTACTTGTTTTTCCATGATTATACTTTATATTAGAAAACTCTCCAAAAAAAAGAAGAAAACTCTCTAAGTTAATCTTTGATTTTTTTGAGGTTTTCTTATATTATTTTTTTCTATAAGCTTTTAGTACAATGTTCATGAAAGTAATCCATGAAAAGACAAAAAAGAAAGAATACTTAAAATGATTTGCATATATACTTACTGGCTGGCTCTCTCTGACTTGTGATTAGCCTTCCTTTAGCCCAGGGCCACTGCCTAGTGGTAGCATTGCCACAGCAGGCTCGGCTCTCCTACATCTACCAACATTCAAGACGGTGCACACAGACACAGATAGTGCACACTTGCCCATAGACCGGCCTGACCCAGTCAGTATCTTTGTTGAGGTTCTCTCTCCCCAGGTCACTTTCATTAGCGACAAGTTTGCAGTAAAAACTAAGCAGCATAGGTTCACATTCATAGAAAATGCGTGGGTTGCTACCTTTTTTTAATACAATATTCTTCACTTCAGTTCTTGTTATTAGCTTTACTAGCTTTGTGACCAGATTTTTCAACATGTCATCATCTTATCAGTTACAATGAACATTTACTTTGAAGATTTTAAGCACTACCACTTTTGCTGATAGAGAAACTATAAAATCAGTTTTCAGAAGACTTTAAATCTATTCTTACTCTCCTACTTTTCCTCCTAATGTTTACCATGATTTTTAAAAGTTTAAGATGGATTAAATATCTAAGCTTATTAAGTTGGCATGTTTAATTTTATACAAAAAAGGAGGAATGAATAATGTGCATTGAGCTGACATAGATGAGGAGAAACTGATGGAAAGAATGATGTTCTCAGACTGAGCTGTCTAGCGGTCATCTGACTGCCATAAGAGAACATAGGGATTTCATCGTCATCCTTCTGGAACTTATTTGTCTTCAAAGTGTTCCATTTCAAACAGTCTTCACACAAGATCCAATTCCCTGAGAAAGTCCCTCATCTTAAGGAAATTTTATGCGTTCACGAAGAAGAGTTAAAAATGGTGACAAAGCTGTTTTAAAGACTTGGTGGTCCTCTGTAAACATTTCAACTTGATATTAAATGTTTCCCACAAAGATAAAGATGTGATGTGGGGTGTTCGTGCACCCAGCAGGATGCAATCACGCTGCTCCTTTACTCAGAATGAGTCGATGTTGTACAGGGGTCCCTTGGGGCAAGATAGAGCCCAAGAAAGCATCTAGTTCACATCATACAGATAATGTACAGCAGTCTACATCCTGATCTTAACTTATTATATATATATATATATATGTTTATGTATATATATATGTTTATGTATATATATATGTTTATGTATATATATGTTTATGTATATATATGTATGTATCTATACATATGGATTTATATTGTCTAAGATACAAATTTCTTAAATGATGTCTTATTCTTCTGTTAGTCTTTTGGCTTGCTTATATTTAAACACCAACATTCTTACCTCGGCTCTGACTTTTTACTACTGTTTCTGTATCAAAGGTGATGAAATTATCATCAGGCCTAAAGGCTGATAAGACAGATTAAAGATATTGTTAGTTTTATCTATGTAGATTTTAAAACATTTACTCTGTTCATTATGTGGACTGGACCAGGCACAATTTGAAGTTCCTTGGTATGTGGATGTGTGCTCTAAAATGTCTGTGAGTTCCATGTGTTTCGGGAGCTTTTGGTGCTAGAAGAGTTGTAGCATCCCAACAAAGGATAAGCTTAAGAAGTTGCCTGTAAGACTCTTCTTCCTAGTGGAGTGGCTCTTACCTAGTGTCTGCTTGCTCTGTGAATTGTTATCACAGGAAATGTCAACTATTGCTAAAAAGCTTGGATCTTTTGTGAAATCTTCATTTGCAATAAACATAGTCTTTAAGATCAACACCTAAAAGGATGATAGTGTGACAGCTACTTAACATGTAAGAGAAGAAGGCCCCTGTAATTTTCAATAAAGATGAAACTGAAGAGAGGGCTGAGAAATGGTGCAGCTTTGTCCAGGTGCTTGGTGGCTTTGTGCTGTCCCCATGTCTTCTCCCAGTTACTGATTCTCTCTGTGCTTAAAGTTTAGGTTTGCCTTGAAATAATCCTCTATAGACTTGCTTCAGCACTTTTTTCTCAGCACAAATGCAAAGTTTTAAATAGTAATGTGATCCAGAGGGAAGAAAAGGTTTGAGTTGACAAGAAGACTATTTTTTTGTGAACCTGAATTCATGGTCAGGGTAATTGAATACCGCTATGTAGCCAACATTTCATATATAAAGAAAGCATGGGTTTCTATATGATGAGCTAAATAAAGTTTTGTTTCAATACTGCCATTATTAATTAATAATGTCACTATTAATTATAACTATATAATAATCATTCAGAAATTATATTAATTGTGTTTGCTCATAAATTGATATCAGCTTGATTCAAAATTTGGATGGAATTTTATGCATACCCTTATACCATATCATTTAGCTATAAAAATACTATATACAATAAATGATTTTCCATGTGCAAAAATAAGAAATATAAATCTTGGGATGGGATTTGTAGATGAGTAATTAATAGGGATTATATGTGTGTGTGTTAATGAAACTAGAGATTATTTGTGGAACTACTAAAAGGAATATAGTTTTCAGTAAAAAAAAAAAAAAGTACAACTTACTGGCCAACTATATATTTTTAAGAAAACTGAAGTTACTTGAATAATAAACTCAAAGCCAGAAATGGATGTTTAAATTATATTCCAAATATGCCATGGAAAGAATACAAAACAAGCAGCATTCTTTCCTAATCCAAAACACTGTGTGGGAGTTGTTGATGTTCATAGTTGTGGCCTTTTCTCTGTGAAGCTGCCAGATTTAGGCATTTAACAAATTTAGCTAATCTCCAGTTAGCAAAGAGAGAATACATTAAAGTAATATTTTTTACCATTTTAAGTATTGTATGACACATTTGAAAAGAAGATGTTTGTAGCTTTGTGCTGTTTGTGGCTTTTTGAATGTAAATCTAACTAGAGCAATTTATTCCCAAGGCAATCTAAAGATATGAATTGTTTAAAGGCACATAGCCATAAATGTATAGATTGCCTAAATATCTAACAACATAAATGTATAGATGCATGAAGGCACAGTTGCATAAAGTGTATGTGTATATAGGGTATAGATACATAAAGATATCAATATAAAATACATAGATGCATAAAGGCACAGATGCTTGAAGGTATGTTAAATAAATAAATAAATAAATAAATAAATAAATAAATAAATATATTTGAATGTATAGGTGCATGAAGGTGCAGATACGTAAAGTTTTAGTGCATAAAGGTGTATGTGTGTAACATGTAGATGCATAAAGGCAGATGCTAGGAGGAGATGAGGGAGGGGGCTGCAGCAGGGATACAGAGTGAATAAATTGGAATAAAAAAGGCACAGGTGCATAAAGGCATTTCTCATTTTGATTTCAATAATAATGAAAACTCTGATATCATTGATTAAAGATTTCAGTTGTATAAAATATCTCTTCCTTGTACATAGCTTCATGCCTCTGTTGGTATTTTGTTCTTTCCTAGAAGTAAGCTTAGTGCTTACTTATTTACTTATTCTTTTACTTTCCAGCAAACTTCATTTTTCTGGGAACCAAAACCCACCTTCTAAACTGTGAATCAGGGTCATTTATTTTTTTTTTCTTTCTTCTGAATTGACACTTCTTATAAAGCTTGTAAAGACATTTGAAAACAAGGTGTTCAGGAGGTTAGTAACAGTGTCAACATGGTTCTAAGCTAGCTACTAGTTCATTTGCGTGTTCATTTTTTTTTACATTTGCTTTGGTTTATTCCTTTAGGAGTGGCAGAATTCTATCCAGAAGAATGCAGGCCTTGCATTTATTGAACTCATCAATGAAGGAAGGTAATTAATTTTACACTTTTTGGGCAACTAGACAGTGTGCATTTAATTCCACTGGGCAACTGCTCTTTCATACCATCTGTTCTAAAAACTGTAAGAAAAAAGCTTTGAAGTAAATAATTTAACATGTAGGCACTTACATTTCAAATTAACAAAATTTAGGTGTTAAGCATTTAGTTTTAGAGACAAAAGCATATATGAAATAATGATATTATATTTCTGATGTTTTGTGAGATTTGAGCCACATCTTACTGAGTGGTGAGATTGTGTTAGACAGATCAAGTGAACCCAGGCTGCAGTGCCATCTGTCACCCCATCTGTTTTCAGGCCACGCTCAGTGTTTACGCTTGAGCCCTTCATCAGTTCACGTGAAGTGGCTTCAACTGATTCTACCAAGCAGTTGGTACCTGGCTGGAAGTATTAGTGATGTTCAGTGCAGAAGGAGTAACAGCCTTAGTTAGGAGTGTGTGTTATCATTGTTAATGATGCTATAGGTGAGATTTTGTTTGAAACCATTGTTGTATTTATCACTGTCTTGAGTAGTTGTTTACTGTGATTTTGCAGTGCTCTATGGGTGGTATACACATTGAGGTTGGTAGGGCTGTCACCCTTTGATCTGTGTAATTTCTATCAACCTGGGACATGCAGCCATGACAAGCTGAATTTCCTGTGTGATATAGTGCATTCTATAGAAAATAATTATTAAATATTTGTTACGATGTTTGCTTTATTGAATAAGCTTTACATAAATTAATAGGGCAGTAATGGTTATAGTATTAGAATGTGCCTTTTTAATCAAGAAATAATATTCTTCAAAAGTGATTTATATGTGGCATTAAAATTCAGTGTTTAGTATTGCTCTGCTTTCTTCCATCACTGCACTGTATCCTGAGAAACTACCTCTGTCTATATAATATCTCATTGCACACTCCTTTTGGCATCAGTGGTCAGTGTTTTAATCATAATACAGGTCTGAAATTTAAAATAAGTTTTTTGCTTACTGTAGTGTAAAAAAGTGAAGGAAATTATAAAATATGGTAATAGGGAAAGAGAGATGGCTCAAGGTTTAAGAACACTGGCTGAACTTCCAGACGACACAGATTAGTCTCAGCACACTTCCCCCTGAGTGGAGAGCAGCCTTGCCAGGTCACAGAGGAAGACAGTGCAGCCACTCCTGATGAGACCTGATAGGCAAGGGTCAGATGGAAAGGGAGGAGGACCTCCCTTATTAGTGGACTTGGAGAGGGACATGGGAGGAGAAGAAGAATGGAGGGTGGAGTTGGGAGGGAATGAGGGAGGAGGATACAGCTGGGATGCAAAGTGAATAAAATGTGATTAATATAAATTAAAAAAAGAACACACACAAAGTCTCAGCATACATGTGATGGCTCACAGTCATATGTAACTCCAGTTACAGGGAATGATTCCATCTTCTGGACTATGCAGGCATCAGAAATGAAAAAAAAAGTGATTATTTATCAGAAACATTTGTAAGAGCTAAGGAAGCTGAAATTCTGGTGCTTTAGTTAAATTGTAATTATTGACAGAAGAGAATGATGCTAGAAAATGTGCTAATATCACACATGTAAAGCTTCTGGAAGTTTCATTTTCTAGTAGTAGTTTAAGGTTTGCTTTATACTGGAGTCTGTTGCACTACATCAGTAGCTGTGGGGATGACTGGAAAAACCTCCTCAGCATAATACCTTGTTACCTCTTGCTTCTGGGTTTTTGCCCTGTATCATACCCATTGTCTACAAGTTGTTGTTTGCTTTCTAAGGCAAAGTCTTGTTTATTCTAGACTAGCCTCACCGTATAGCTAAGCATCATCCTAAACTTCTAATCCTCCTGTATCCACCTCTCAAGATGTGGTATTATAAACATGTTCCAGCACATCCAGTTTGTGTGCTGCTAGGGTTCAAAAACCAGATTTATTGAATGCTAGGCAAGAAGTATACACTGAGCTCCATTTCCAGTCCTGATCCCTAGAGTTTTATTCTCCTCCAGTCTAGATGTCTTTTAACTGTGACCCAGGTCAAACATATTTAAGATGGCATTCCCTTCCCACTGGCATGGTTCTTTCAATCTTAAACACATTTTAGAATAAAGCCATTTTGAAGCGCTGTAGCTTAACTTCCATAGCAGATTTTCTTCTCCTTCATGTTCTGTGCTTTAAATGATCATTATTTTCATCCTGAAAACTATCTTTATTGCTGCCACTATTAAGATAACCTTCACCTAAGATCATAATATTCCTTCCTCTATGCAGCAAAGCTTGTATAGAGCAGTAAGTTCTTGATAAGAATTTATGATTTAATTGTTTTTAAAAATAATCAGTAATTTCTTTACTTTCAATTTTGGCAGTTTTCAGCTCTCCACTGTAGAATTCTTTCCTTAAAACTTAGATTTTACTTGCTGCCTTGTAGACCATCACATCTCTGGAACCTGAAGTAGCACCTAGTATGTTTGAAAATTTAGAAGTAATGAAAGCAGTGAGTAGACTTAGAATGGCCAGTGCTGAATAGACAGGAGAAAAATGACTAAGAAAACCACAGAGCTTGTGGAATTGTTTGGGTGAGCCTGTAGTAGGGGCTGTATTTATACTCCAGCGTTTTCCCCTTCAGTTCAAAGTAGGTGGGAAGAAGGCTTGAGCATACTCTCTTATCTCTTAACTGAGCCTTTAAAGTAGACTCTCTCTTGCTTCCCAACCCACTCCCGTGCCCCTTCTCCATGGGCTGTATTCATCATGGTTCCCATCTGTATTTGGGGTCATTTTTCAATTTAAATATTTCTTCTGTAAATTTAAAATGTTAATACTGGTTTCCAAAGACCAGTATGTAGGTGGCCATTATTTCTGTGAGTAAAAGCACACCCCTCTGCTTATCTGCTACTGTGAGTATTCACTGTGTGCTACATACAAACTCAGTACTTTACATGTGTGTTACCTCATTTGTCCAGGCACAGAACATTGATCCTCTCACTTAGCTTGCCTGTTGGGCAGCCCATTTTATTTTTCCTTGTAAGGAGGGAAATGAAAACCTCCAAATGAAAATTGTTACAAATGTTTATCCTCCTTCACATCTACACCTATGAATTCAGTCCGTCAATCAGAGCCAGAGAAAGCATGTGTGAGGCGTCTACATTAACAGGGAAAATCAGCTGATGAATGTGTAACTGAACTAAAGCACACCCAAAACAGCCTGCAATTATACACTGGATCATTTAAAGGACTCTAACAAAGAGTCTTTATTATTAAAACAAAGCTGGGTTAATGGGGTATAAAATTGCCTATAATATCTTGGCAATAATAATTGGAATTTAAATTATTAAAATACGAGGCATATAAGACATTTTAAACATGGGATGTGTGTAGTCTTGAAATGAATTAAGCCTTTTCCTAAATTAAGTTCTGTCACTCTTTTGAAAGGAATATCAGGTATAATTAATGAATATCAGATATAATTAACGAATTCACTGTAAAAATGCAAGATGTTTATGTTCAGTGCTGATATAACCTGGGATCACAAGGATCCAGTTTTAATTTTATAAAGGATAAAGATAAACTTTTAATTCTTTAGGATCTTAAAAAAGAGGAACTTGATCCAAGTGTAATTCATTAATAATTATGTGGCCACTGTGAATGGCGGTTACCATTTAAACTTTAAAGGTTTGTTTTTCCAACAGACACATGCAATTACACACACACACACACACACACACACACACACACACACACAATTTGCAAAGCTGGGAGCCCTGAAACCATTTTTTTTTTTTTTTTTTTTTTTTTGGAGCTGATGTTTTGGTTTAGTTTTTAACCATAAATCTCTGGAAACTTGAAAACAGAAGTTCTTTCCCAGTATTGTTTCATCTGAAGCCCCAATAAAAACTTTTTTTATACTTTTGTTTATTTTATGTAATAAATTATTAAGTTTTGAGCTTTGTAAATAATAGAATAAAATTGTCAGTGCTTTATACAATTACTGTGTACTTATCCTTTTTTTTTTTTACTTGTACCTATTAGACAATGATGACAGTGTGTTTATTCAAAGCTGAAGTAAGTCCTATTTAATAAAGGTTAAATTTCACTTTCTAGGGAAATGAATTTCACATTTATGTGTGTTAATGTGCTTTTTGTTGTTATGACAGAACACTGAAAGCTGGCTAGTTTATAAGCAAACATTTACTGTTTCATGGTTCTTAATGTAGGACTGGGGAGGCAGCACTGGCAAGAGCCTTTGGCCATGTTCTACCAGCTCATTTTATGAGACTCCTACCTTTTGCAGTAGCAGCAAAGGCTACTCTCAGTTCCGAACATAAACCTGTGCATCATCTAAAAACAAACTCGTGTCATATCCAGCAACCTATGAAAATAATTCTAAAAGAAAGCTTTTAGTCAAAAAGTGGACAGTTAGTGTGACATTCAAAACTTTTACTTATGTGATGCTCCACCTTCACAGACTGAAAGACAATACCTGTGTTTTGGCATTCTCAGAGATGTAGAAAGTGTGAAGTCATGATGCTCACTTCTTGCAGTAGACTGAAAGTGATGGCTACAGAAGCACAGCCAACTCCTTGCTTAGTGGAAACAGACTAGATAATTCTCCTGCAGTGCCACAGCAAGGCAAGGTTTTTTTGTATCACATATGTACATATCTTGGGCATTTGACCAGAGGTCTCATCTAGTCCGTTTATAGAGGCAGTCCCAAGATGCCTAAAAAAGGTACTAGAACTACTAAATGAATCAAATAGGATCCAAGATTAGTATTCAAATACACTTTGTCCTTTCATCTTTGTCAAGCTGATCGGAGATTGTTCTGTGCTGCATGCTGGAAGCATGAAAAGCCCAGCCTAAGAATTCCTAGGACTTGTAAAATTTTACTTCAGTGCCTTTTGAAGCCCATGGCTTCAGGTCTCTGTGCCTATAAGAACTGCATTGTTTTCCCAGTTGGTCTTCTTGGTAACAAAATTCCAGACTGGCCAAGTCAGATGGAAAGTTTCTAACC